TAAAACATTTTGTTGAAAAAGTGCAATAAAAGTACTAAGAAAATAGTGTAGCTTCTGTCTCTCTGTCTGTGATAATCACATAAGGGGTGTTATTTTCACTTACCAAATACATCCTCATGATACTGCAGAATTACAGACCAGACAAACTGATGTGAAAATCATTGTACTATAAAACTGCATATAAGCTTTTAAACCTTGTAATTTTAGTTTAAAAAGTTTTGATCATTCTGTCATTTTGTACTATTGCACAAAATTATAAAAAAAAAAAAAAGCACTGGAAATAATAAGGAAGATAACACTTCATTATTAATAATACTTTTTAAAGTTAGTTTTATTTTTAAGGTAATAGAATTTATTATGTTAGTGATTTCTTTCAAAAGTGGAAAAGTATCTAGGATAATGGTTGCAGAGAATGTACAAATACTGTGTAGTAATCACTTATACCAATATGAATTTTTAACAAATCAAATGGAATGTGATCCCATCACACATCATCGGTATAAACTGGCAAGTGCATTCAGAGGTTTACTTTTTCCTTCTCAAGGGTAAAGTTCTCTAGTAATTTTCAGTCTTTCCTGAGCTCACACTAATAGTCTGCAGTTCACACTCATCATTCTCTTGTTCTATATATGACTTGGAATAAATAGATCCTTTAGTATTTGGGAATCTATTTATTATACTGAACATTTTATTTATTATACTGAGCACTGCTGGTTCCTTAACGCAGCACTTGCTCTTCCACTTTTCTTTGATCTCCCTCTTATTCCCAATCTGTCTCACTGTGACTATCAAAATCTGAGTTTTAGTTGTTCTCTTTAATGTTTTTGATTCTTTCCGGTTTTGTTTACAGATAAGCCTAAAGTAATTCTCCACATCTATCTGAACTAACCTGATCAATTGCTCATATAATAGGCTTTTGATACTATTTAATCTTTGTCCCTTCTTTGCTTGTTTCTGGTTTAACAACATCATTCTTGTTCAGGTGCACTATTTGCATTTTAAGTGTTATAGGATGGTGATAACCATCATCTCCCATTTGCAAAGCACAAACAAAATAACGAATAAATAATGAAAAGCTTTTGCCTGGAAGCATGTGGGGTCACTGAGCAAATGCATATTGTCATGAAAGTAGCACATGTCAAAGAATTTTGATATCCTATGGTAAGAAGAAATGTAAAATAGCAATGCAGACCTAATTGTTTGAAGAAGGTGTGTGCAGAACCTTTTTTAGCTTATTTAAATATAGAATAATGACTGAGGATCCTCTTTTGAGGCTTAAAAGAGCTTTGTTTTGTAATACTCCACTATAATTAGATCAAGTTAAATTGTAGTACTTGGTACTAGTTCAGTATTTTGACACTGGAATGCATTTTGAATGCAAGAATATAAGCTGTTTTCATAAGTGACAGGAGAGGTGTTATTGCCTTTTTGATTCCAGCTGTACACACATAATGCAGCAGTAGTTAATTGTAAAATAATTGCATTTTAACTGACATATTGAACGAATATTTTTCTTCTACTTTCAGTGGCCCGAATTATTAATTCCAAATGCAGAGAATTTAATGATGTTGTTTCTTTGTATTATTTCTACTTGCATATTAAAGATTTAGCAGAAATTTTTCTGGTTTTATACATGGTATAACATAAAAATCCTTTAAAAAAGTTTTAGAGGGTTTTTAGATAAAAACATTTTTTTTCAGTGGACTTGATTTATATTGTTAGTGGAGCTTATTGGACCAAGTCTGACAAAATATTTTAAAACTGAGATTAATAACATATCTATATATTTTATTAAATATATAATTATTTAATTGCATAGAGTGAACTTAAATGTTGCTAATATTTTATTTAGGGAAAGCATTCTATAGAATACTTCCTACTTGCATATTTTGTCTGCTCTATATAGCCTTTAACCAGAATGGGTAGAGCATTTTTATGCAACACTGAAGAAATACCATTTCTTTTCTTAAAAATACAATTTATTTCTATATATAGACATGAAGTACTACTCGTTAAAGTACAGCACTTTCTTTGTTAATTCTGTTTTTTCAGGCTATTACAAAGTTATCTTATAATCCCAAACTTCTTTGTCTTCCTCCCACATGCACATGGTGTTGCTTTACTCTTGTGTGAGGTTGAATGATCACAGCTATGGTAGAGGGGAGAGGGAGCACTGTGCTGAGTGCTGTCATAATACTTTCATTCTGTAGGAAGAGACAGAACAGCACCTTACACAGGCACAGTTTCTGTGGTACCTTTGTATCAGTGAAAGGATATGGTTATGTCTTTCACGTGCAGCAAGAGAGGGCTGAAAATACCATGACCACCACTGCAAGCACTGAGTAATGTTACATCCTTGATTGTTAATGGAGAAGTAGGTATACATGCTTACACTAGTTAGTCTTGTGCTGAATAAGAAGGTAGCAATGACTGTTCAGCTTCTTTTTCTCACCACACACAATGTGATGTGAGGAATGAAATCAGAAGTCAGTTCTGCTGCACACTGACTTTTATGTGGTCTTGTAATTGATACTAGGTCAGATAAAAATATGCATTACAGAAGAAATCAAAAACACTCACTGAAGAAAACATTCCTGAGAATGTTTAAGAGCAGGTTCTGTTGCTTCTTTAGCTTGCTTCTCAGATATTATCCTGAAATTTAGTTAATTGTTGTTAACTTACAATGTGTATTTGCCTTTTGAGTAGGCATTTTTGAATGCCTATTCATTCAGGTAGGCAAAGGATCAATATTTGCATTTACTGTTTCCTGGATTTTTTAACATGTACTTAATTTGGAGGTGGAAGAGAATTGAGGAATGAATTCCATTGGATTAGTACAGATATTTTGAACTACTGTTGAATGTCAAAACAGGATAGAAGAAGTGTTACAAAAGTATGGACAGATAAAGTACTGGAAGATTATTGGAATTAGGTTTTTTATTAGTGCTTAATGTACTTAATTTCCACAGCTGTTATAATTACAACAGTTTTAACGACTTCATGCTTTAAAAGACAATGTTTTCCTCAGAATTTGTGTGCTAATAAACATTATAAAATGCTTCCGTGGTAATAGATTGGAAAAAGGGGGGGTACACTGATATATATGCAGTGGTGGCTAGTGTTTTTTGAAACAGTCAAGATCATGGTTTAGCTAAGCACACATTTCGCTGACTGACTTTAAAGAATATTTTGTGGCAAAGTCTAGCTTCAGGAATTGTTTTTCAGAGTGAAGGGAAATAATCATAATTAGAAATTACAGGGGGTTTTAAATTTTTGTCTTAAAATTTATTAAAATTTATTAACTATTTAAAATAACATATAAATGTGTTAATTCCACTCTGCATAAATGTAAGACATGAATTATATAATAAATTTTGTCAAGATTTTTGGGTTGTAAATGTTTTAGTTAAAATCCTACAGTCTATATGATACTGACAAATGAGTATTTTTAAATTACTACTTTTGCACTAAGGAAGCATTTAACTCAAAGACCTATGAGCAGAATTTTTTCTTATGTAGTCCATTAGGTTAAATATCCACAGCTTTCCTGTGTCTTCCTCCACAGTTCCTATGGGTATAAATAACTCTGGAGATAGAGACGTCTCGAATTCTGCATGTAAGGCAAGTGCAGAGGCACTTCTGTGTAGCTGTTTCATGCCATTCAGGCAGGTCAGGAAAAGACAGAGGCTAAGATCAGAGTCAAACGCATTTGCTTGCCTCAGTTATATGGTTTACAGATAGCAAAATTATCCAGTTTATGCAGAAGGCACTGTTCCAGGGCTCCAGAGCGTGAGGTGTACACATCAGTGTAAGAGACAGAGCACTACTATAGGCAAGGTAAAGCCCTGCCTGATATTTCCATTAATTTCATTGGTAAATGCAAGGTAAAGCAGATTGCAAATTTATGTATAATTTGAGTCATGAATGGATTCTGGGATAGAGTGGAGAGCAAAAGTGTTGGGAGACAGGCCTTTTTGCCATTTGCCACTGTGGAGTGGTGAAATAAGGAGAACCACAATGTACTCCAGTTTTTGTAGACACAGCAAACTTACTCTGTCTTTGCAGTCTGTAAGTGAAAGAATCAATACAAGGAATAGAGTTTTATTAAACCTGAAGTTTTGCTTTTCTGCAGGGCAGAGTAATGCTGCAAATTTCCAACTCTACTTTAAATCCAATGCTCTGGAAAGTAGACTCACACCCATTTGTAAATCTCCAAAGACAGCTGAGCATATTTATTTCTTGTAATATCAGTCAAGCATGATCTACTTAGCTAATTCTGAAAATCTTGGTTTTATTTAGGTGCTTCTTCTTCCTCTCTGTTTGCTAATTCTGAATGAGAGTGAGAGTGAGTCTTCAGTTAAACAGCAGCTTCAAGCAGATATTCAGTAGAATTTTTCATGGCAGTGACTGAATGTGAGAACTTACTGGGATGCATAAGGATGCCAAGTCTTTATAATCAAAATCAATTTAATTTCTTCATCAGTGTTATTTTTTACAAGAGATTGAAAACTCATTTAGGTGTTGTTTTTCTTTAGACAGAATAATTGCCCATCAAAATAGTGATTATTTTAGTATTCTATAAAATTTCAACCTGTCAATTCCATGTAGAATGAAGATGGAATCACTGCCAAAATATTCACTGATCTTAAAAAATAAAGAGTGTGTTGCCCATTTACAAGAGAAATAGTATTCATTAAACTTACAATTGTGCAGTTTTGGAAATTCAGAAAGTTGTCCAAAATATGTATTGAGCTGATTGGAATGCAATATTTCTCATCAAATAAATGCAGCTCCACATCCATCTTAAATTATAAAGTTGTTGTCCATACATTGGTACCATGTGAAAGATACCATGGAAAAAATAATCAAAAGAGGTTTCCTACATGCAATATATATGAGCTATTTTCAGCCCTTTGCAAGAGTTTTAACTTACAAAAATTCTGAAAACAACCTGTTACTTTGTTTCACTTTGTTTTATTTTTAATAACTTCAAAATTCAGTATGGGGATAAACCACGACAATGACCACCCATCCTGTGCAGATGGTGTCCACATCATGTCTGGGGAATGGATTAAAGGACAGAATCTTGGGGATGTTTCATGGTCTCAGTGCAGCAGAGAAGATCTGGAAAGATTTCTCAGGTATATAATTCAAGAAAAGAAATCTTACTGTATGTCATTTAGAAATAGATCCAATTAATATACTGAAATAATAAGTTTTTAACTTTTTTTTACTCCAGTTGGAGATTTTTTTTTTTGCAAAATCCATTGAAATATTTTAAGTCATCACAATCTAAGATTTATTAAAATGTTTTCGGCAATTGCATGGATTTTTATATTTTCATGTCTTAATCAATATGATTATACTTTTATATACTTATATGGAAATTTTGTATATGTCGCTATATTTACTGTATATTAATGCTCTGTGTACTGAAATATTTGGCCACCAAAACCTTTATCCATTAAATAAGTTTTATTCCAAAGTGTTGTCCAGCACATTTCTGAAATGCTGATCAATTATATAGTCTTTCTGCAAATGTACAATAACAGAGCACATTAACTTATAGCAAGCAGGCCATATGATTTTAAACATGAGCAGTAGCCCAATGCTGATGAATAAGCAAATTGTAATTGTCCATGTACTTTGAATGTTGTGTGCAAGTTTAAGTTGGCATAGCGATCGGACCCTTGGATTTCTCAGTATGAACGAATCTCTGCATATCACCAGGTCAAAGGCCAGTAACTGTCTGGTACAGACGAATCCTCAGAGCCTCAATTCTGTGATTATTCCCTCCAAGCTCCCAGGAATGACGTACACTGCAGATGAGCAGTGTCAGATTCTTTTTGGACCAACTGCTTCCTTTTGCCAAGAAATGCAGGTAAGGCTATGTCTGTACTTCAGAAAATGCATCTACCATCTAATTTTTGTGTGAAAGTAGCTTTTGTACATATGTTTGATAGAAAGAGAATATAGTATCTTTGAAGTAAGAATTTTACACTTGCTTTCGAAAAATTGCACATATTCATTATGCACATATTCATTGGTTTATCTTGTAAGTCTTGCTTTAGGTTTCTGAATATCTTGAAGCGTGTTTTATTGATAGTTCCTTTGTACTTTAGAAGCTTATGATGTCATAGTGTTGAGACACCTTGTTGCAGCAAGTGGAATATTTGCAATTTATTATTTAGGTTCCATTTTATTATGGCTTGAACATCCATTTCTGGCCTTCAGAAGATTATGCTGTGTCTGTGCAAATTGAGAGGAGTAATAGTGCTGTTAACTGGGCTCTCGGCACCTCTGAGCCCACACAGAGCTGTACAGTGCCACGACAAGAGGAGTTCCAGTACTTAAGTCAGTTTGCTGACTTTGCTTTGTGCCAGTGTGAAGCAGTGTCACTATATGAGCCTTAAAAAAATTATGAACAGGCCTTCATAATTTTATGAGCTAATGCTAGTAGACATCTGATTGAAAAAGCAGTTTAAAAATTATTTTTGCAGAGAACAGTCAAACTTTTTTAGCTTGAGCACGAGAGACTAAACATATTTGATGCCCTTAAGACACTAAGGAAGGTAAAGATGGGATGACAGTATGCATATATGTAAAGAGCATGGAGCATGGATTGACAGAGCAGGCACTAGAGGAACTGTGAAATAAAATTTCATCAGAGTCAGTGGGCAGATAGCCTGAAAAGGTTAGGAGTACTAAACAGGAAAACATAATTCCTTTCTCCTTTAATTCTTCAGTTCTCTTCCTGTTTTCATTTGGACATAGTACTATTTCTTCAGAGAGTTTCACTTAAACTAAAGATTCTCAAAAAGATTCTCAAAGGAAACATTGCAGTACATGTGCTACTAAGGCATGCTGAGAGTGGTATAGTTGAAGAGAAAAGGGAAGAAAGGATTAAAGATTCTCAAAAGTAATTGAAGAAAGAGAGAAACATCAAGATTTTCTGTTGCATAATATCTTTATATGCTTTTCATTTGTCTGGATAAATTCCCTTCCTTTTACCTTTGTGTTTTGTTCTTATTCGTATATTTAAATTCAGATAGTCAAGTTGTCCTATGCCTGTTGTGTTTGTCATAGATTCAGTAAATATTCTCCTTCACGATCCTAACTCTTTTGATTTACATTATTTTAGAAATATTAGGAAATTAAATTCAGTGAATATTACCAGGGTAGTGTTCAACTGTTTGCACAGAGATTATTTAGGTTCTAGGTGCTCATAGCTAATTGTCCATTTCTAGTCATCTTCAATCGTATTCCCCTCTTCTGACATTCTGCATGTAAGACACCTTTCATCTAAACCAATTATTTTCAGCTAAATAAATATGTCTGCTTTTTCCTACCTATGGGATCATTGCTTTATATTTATATTAAATATTTATATTAACAGTAAAATCAACAGAAGTTTCTGGCTATTTTACTGTAATATTAAATATTAGTATTAATATACCATTACATATTATTAAATATTAGTATTAAATGAAACATTGTAATTTAAATACAAGTATAATCCAAGTTTGCTGTGAAGAAAGAATATAGTAATGATGTAAGACAATACAAAAGGCCTATATATTTTCAACTATGCTTTTTTCCTGATAAACTGCAATTTAATTTTAGCTCTCATCATAAAACCAAATGAGTTACCTGATGACCTTATGTCTAACAGTTAGAAAAAGACAGCCCAGTAACAATTGCTGAGAAGACAGCAATGGGAAGAACCTTCTGCAGTTTTCCCAAAAGCCTCTGCAAAACTGGTAACCCTAACCTGAAAATTGTATAATGAAATATTGAACCAAGAAATTACTGTAACAAATTTTTAAGAACCTTGGATCTATTAGAAATGAGTGAATGACACTAAGAACAAATTTGAGAAAACATGGTGAGAGTAGAAGATTTTTCCAAAGCTTCCTTCCTGACCTCAGTAAAGTCACCTTGTTGGTTTTTCTCTGTGTTCTTCTGTCTGGAAGCAAAATTTACACTCTTAACTTCCTACCAGCAAAGAAAAAAAAAATCCAAGAAACTTAATCCTGAGTTTCTAGACATGAAGAGCTACTTACACAAAGCTTAGGCACTATATTCAAATCTTCTTTTGGTCCCTGTTGTGGATCTTGAATTTATCTCTTCTGTTAGGGAAGTTTACTGCAAGTCCAGTTAGATATAGAATTTCTAAATAATAGAAATAGCATTTCTATGGTGAAGGGGAAACTCAAAGCAATGGGCAGAGTGCAGCCCAGAGGATAAGTAAGTTGTCCTTTTACAAGTTTTTTTGGTATGTATGAAAAGAAAGGAAAAAAAGAAGTTACCATTGCAATTCAGGTAGAAACAAACCATTTAAACTTTCCAGAAATCTTTCATGAGTTCTAGCACATGGACTGTGCAACACCAACATCATCTATTGGTAAAGCACAGTTACTCAGTAGCTAATTTTATCATCTTCTTCAGAAATAAAAACATGTTAGATACAAGTAACAAATATGTTGAATCTAACCTTGCAAATAATTGCATTTTATTTAACACGAAGATGACTCAAATTTCGCTGTGTTGATTCTACAAATTATTGTGGCTGCCACTGGAGAAATCAATATTTAGAATACCTTTCTAAGTTGAATGCAGTATTTTATTACATATTACATAGTTACTGTATTAATTTATTACAATAATTATTTAATTATGCATGGGTAATCATGGAATATTCCATGATATCCAGACTACTTCCTTTAATCTCTGTATAGTCTGTCCTACTCTGCCAGTAACTGGAAGTTTATTATGGTTATAATTGTTGTCTGCAAGCCAGGAAATGAGAGAAACACACTCCTTGAAGGTTCATTTAAATGTCAGTAAATCCAAAAATTTATAGCCCAGGATTTTTTGGGCATGTTCTACTTGCTGAACAGTTCATGCACTTTATTAAAACTGTGTAAAAGATAAATTATGAACTATATAACAATCTTATGTTTTTTGAGACTGGAAGATTATTTAATGAATAGAGTTCTATACATTCTTATACATTAAGGAACTGTGTTTCATATATAACAGCTATTTAACTAAAAAAAACAATTGAGTAATGATGAAAAATCATCTTAATTCTACAAATATCAGTGGTACAATCAATAGTGCATTTTTACTGAGATACAATTTTCTACAATTGTTATTGCAAAGGAGGACTTTAGGACTGCACTTCACAGTTGCATTACATGACAACCTCTGAGAAATGCTACTGATGCAAATTATGTTCCCTTGCTATCAAGAATCCCTCTTTATGATTGAATTTAATGAATGAAGCAAAGAACTGAAGGAGCTACTGCGGTCCTACTCCTATATTTTCCTAAGTGAGGTTCTCCTACTCCCCTTTCACAGATGGTGACTTTATTTTTATTTTTTCTTTTTCATCTTCATTTCAAAGACATTTTTTTTCATATCCTAGGTAAAATTTCTAGACCCTACAAAAGAATGAGTGGATCTCCAGGTCCAAGATTTATACTGTGTCTCCATGCTTACCTTGTAAGGGAGCCAAGTTTGCTTTTATACCCATGATGTCTCATGCAAGAATCAATTAGATCCTAACATTATTTCACGAAACAGATAGTGAGATCATGGCCCAGAAGTAGTTATTGGTGATTAAACAGGATTGTAAAACTTGACAATTTAATGCAATTGTTGAACTATTAAATACTGGCTTTTAAGATTAAAGTCCAGGATGTGAATGCTATCTGGTCAGTTCCACTAAAACAGTTCTTGTCATAACACAGCTGTGATCTTTGCAAAGTAGGAGACTGGTTATATGTCATGGTGATTTTTAAGGTATTTCAGGGAAAGATCACAATTAAAAGGAGAAAAGTAATGGAAATACTATAGTCAGGGAGAAATATCTGTCCTCATCTCAACCACCACATTTTAAACAATCTTGACTTTGCACAAATACTGTTCCAAAATTCCCTTTTTGTCTCTGGTCATTCCTTTCAACCGAACTTTCTTTCTGTATGCTTACATGCTTGGAAATGTATTCTTCTGATTCACATAGACCTGTCTCCTAATTTAATTAAATAGACAGAAACAGACATAAAACCCCCACAAAACTCCAATGCTGAAGTGACCTCTGTAATGCATTGTGGCTTCCGTGTTCTGTTTTACAAACTTTCACTGTTAAAAACTCATGACTAGCACATTCTTTCAAAAAAAAGTCCTTTGTGTGTGCTTGGCAATATTTTGTTTTCCAATGTACACACTAAGAAATATTTTACCGATTGTGAATAGGCTAATGTTACAATTATAAATTTTTATTCTCCAATGTCTATTTCTTCCCTTTTCTCATCTAGAAAGCTGTGATGACTGTTGAACTATACTTATCATAGACAACTGTTAAACCTTTGTGAATATTAGCTTAGCTATCCATATTTTGACTGAAGAAAGGTTCTTTTAAGAGGGGTAAAATCCTGGCATAGAAGTCTGTGCCCTGATTTTGAAGTAACTGTAAAATTCACACTCTTCTCCAGATTTCTGTTTGCTCTCAAATCAGTCTGGATCTGCTTCATTGCAGGTTGCTAATGAAAAACCCATATTGTATGTTGTGGTCTTTCCCTGGTCTTTTAGAGAAATCATTAAATGTCAAAATATAGATGCTGACAGTAATCGCCTTACCTCATACCTCTGCAACAGAAATAGAGTCTGAACAATATCTAAAGAGTCTGTTTGTGATTTGACTGAAATGAAAAGCCCAGGAAAAAAACAAACTTACAAGTAAACCACCAATTTTAGTAATTCCATACCTCCCTTTTTCTTGGGTTTGGGGAATAATCAAGTTTAATATTGAGTGCTTATTTTAGCAGTTAGTGAAGTGAGTGTTTTTAGAATACAGTTCACTTAAAGCCCAAAGTAGTTTCTATTTTTGAAGTCGGATCATGGTTCGAAGGCAGGTGGTATACAAGTATTGTAGAAATATGGAGATGTATAAAATACATCTTGCTTACATTAGCAAGCAAAGGGTGTTGATTTGATTTTTAAAATTTAGTTTACCTGGTTCAAGTATGTCTCTGTGTTTAGGTACCCAAAATACCCAAAACCCAGTAAATCTGACTTAATGCCTCTCTATATTTAGAAGAATTGTTTCTAGATTTGTAAAGAACTGTTTGTTGTAAGCCATTCTGCAATCATATACAAGTGAAATTAAATGTAGGCTCAAAGTGTTTAGGGAGAAAAAATAAGCGTAATATACTTAAAAATGTCATGTCACAAGAGAAAATTTGCCTGTATTTTTTGAAAGCTTGGATAAATCTGGATGGTAGAAAAACCGTTGTATTTACTCATAAATGAGGATTTAAGGATATGAAAAAAAATTATTTAGGACAAATAAATTAACATATATTTTTGTGGAGTGCTACCAACAGTATGACTTTCATTTCCTACTTTGTCATGAACATCTGATACTCTATCTCATCTACTATTGTCATCATCTACGTTGTTTAAAAAACGAAGAAGAACAGAAATGAGAGTTTGTTACTTGAAAAATGCTTGCTAAAATTACCCAGGAACAGGATAGAACTTCTGTAGCTGTTTTTTTGAGACATACATAAGCTAGCTGTTGTGTTGTTAGCTCAGTTTCAGCAAAAAGCTGTTACAGGATGAATCAAGAGTCTCACTGCTGCCGTCTCTTGTTTCTGTACAGTGCTTCAGACCTCTACAATCTTTGACTTTTTTTCTTTTCTTGATAACTGTTGTTACAGACATTTTTACATATAAGACTCCCAATGGAACTGCCCTGTTCCTTGGTTCAAACACAATCTTTTGTTGAATTGTGCTTTGTCTGCTTTTAGTCTTTTTTCAAGGTAGCATAAGATTTATGACAAGTTTTTCATACATAGTGTAAGAGGCACAGAGACTCTTACTGGGTGTACCAATATAACAAATCATTTTGCTCAGAAAAAGTAGGTCTTCTCGCAGCCCTGGTTTAAAAAACCCAGCTGTTCTTTATCTTTTATCCTGCTTGCATCACCTCCCCCTCTCCTGATCCTTCTTGCCCGTCTTTGGGCAGTATACACTGTGGAGGATCACTGTGCATATGCAGTAATACTCAGGCCACAGTTCACCCCCACGTGGCCTCTCTTCACTTCCACATGGTTTATTGTTAAGGGGGAACAGACAGCAGGGAGAATGCAGTCCTGACTGAAAACCATGGGAGAAGGAGGACTTTTCAGAGAAAAAATAGGCAAAGCTGCCAGGGAAATTGGGGAAATGTGAGCCAGCATCCTGCAAGGCTTGGCTTTCTTTTGAGTAAAGTAAAAACTCTTTTGTCCTGATACTTCGGAGGGCTTTTCTTTCCATCTCTAAAATTCATTGCTGACTTGCATCCTGTCATCTCCCTTCTCTTCTTTCCAGCAAAAATATTTCATTTGTCAGGTAATTTTGTGTCTTCTTTGTGGAGATCAGGTTTGATAGCTTTTGGAATTTTTTTTCTAGAGTAATAAGTGAATTCTAGATGAATTACAAATTATTGAAGAGTATGACAGTAGCAGTCATTGGGGTAGCACAAACAAGAGGGAAGTCCTAGAGAAGCACAATTAACAAAAGTCAAAGCACATGTGGGTTTTTAAAAATGTTTAATATGTCTTTAAGTGTATTTCAGTACCATCAAACTAGTAAATTTAGACAACATTAGTGGACTGCATGCAGAAAGTAATTTTGCATAGGATAGATTTTGTGCTTACTGTTTGTTTGGTTTTCAGCATGTCATTTGCACTGGGTTGTGGTGTAAGGTGGAAAGTGAGAAGGAATGCAAAACTAAACTGGATCCACCAATGGATGGAACAGACTGTGACACTGGAAAGGTATGCCTCTGGTGGAAAAGCAATGTCAATTATATCGGACATCTAACATTTAAGGAAACAAGCTGAATAGGTCTTTGCTGTTCTGTAAAGTTCCTACTTTCCTCAATTGTCATAAAAATAAGCTATGTAAAGTTGGATGTATTATATTTGATATATTTTATAATATAGATATGAAAAAAGAACATTTCCCTAAAACCAGTGAATTAAAAAAAGGTTAACCAAAGAGACATGTTTTAATATTTATACTGTTTTATTTCAAATTCTTTCACATTTTTTTGTCATATTTATGAACAGAATGCAATTGTTGCTCTTCAAACAGTAAATAGAAACTTAAGCTTTCAAAGGTACAGGGTTTTCAGCTATGATTTAAGATTTAGAAATAGTCTCTTTGAAGGAATTGATAGAGATTGTTGTTAAAACCTTTCAGGATAAGTTTTATCAAGAAATATGGTGTAAAAGAGTTTAATCCCATGCATGTAAAAGAGTGACAAATGCCATTAAAAGCATGTCATCACAAACACATTAAATGATCACCTAATCAGACTTAGATAAATTGTCCTTCAAGAGCTTTCCAGTTAAAATTATTTGTAATCTTTGTATTTATCTGTAAATGAATACAAATAACCTCAAACAGAAAACAGAGGAAGAGCATACATATGTCTTGGGATTTTCAAGATACTGTGCTGACAGCCATCTCCCACAGGAGTGATTTACTCTTAGAGTTATATTACGTTCACCAGGATTCTCATCATTCTCCTAAAATCAAATCAATCAGTTAATATAAAATGTTCAGATAATACGCTAATAACATGCTAAAGGAAAACCAGGTTTTATTTCTGTTCTTATCTTTAAAATAATGACAACTGCTTCACTGTTTTAATTCTGATAAAGTTCATAGTTGATACTGTCTGAAGTCAATATTTGGAAAGTAAGAGACATGAGTTTTGTTTGATACCACAATTTTTACATTGAGACTGTCCATGCTATGGAATAAGAAAGCAGAACCTCTTATGACAATTACACACAATTACTGATTGTAATTAAAATGGCTGATTGAGCCCGGCTACAGAGATAACTTATTTATGTATAGCAGTAGAAAACTAAGCATACATCACCAAAACATCACAGGGGATAAAAAAGAATTATTGTTCTTGTTTGCTTTATTATCTGTCCAGGATGAGGTTTAGGTTACACAAATCACTGGCTTTGGGGGTTTTTTATTGGTATTGTGGAGTTAAGTATTTTTGTCTTGTGCTCCTCTTAGGATCTTGGGAAGTGATGGAAATGTCATTTGCATACCTTGTCCTTCTTGCTTGGGGTTTAAGTCAAGAATTTTAGAAAATCCCTTAGGCTGTGTGGAGAGTAGATGCTATCTCAGTAGAAAAATCCATATTTATCTGAAGCAATAACTTTATATGTATATGAGCATTTCTGGTTTGAAACATCCAAGTGCATTACAAAATTGATATTTTATGGTTTATATTTTATGGTAAGTCTAATATAAAGATGGAGACACTCTACATGATGACTTTTAAGAAGTGGAATAATAATGCCTTCATTGTAATGTGATGATTAAAGAGAGAAAATTAACATTAGCTAATCAGTAAAGACCAGTTTCAAACTGTAGGTGAAAAGGTTGCCAGATAAGGATTCAGCACAGACATTAAAAGTTACAGAAGTGTGTTCTAAAAAAACCAGAAGTCTCTACTGACTGCATTAGTGACAGCTTTTCTTTTGCTATAATTACAAGATTTGTTTGCAAAGTCTGTTATCCATTGGTAACAGTGATTCAGTGATTCACCAACAGTTCAGAAGGTAAAAAGAAATGAGTTTAATTACTGATGTTAATGGCATTAAGTGATTGATCATTGTCTGCTTTGTAACTCCTGAATCAATGAATAATGAAATTTCTAAGGCTGGAAAATAACTATATATTAGGAAAATTCGTAATACATGGGACAGATATTAAATTGGTATAATTTGATAAAGCATTAATTTCTTCAGAGTTTATGATGATTTGTACGAGATATGGACATAGGTTACAAAGCATAACAGTAGTGATTGGATAATTTTTGAGTGAGAAATTCAGTTTTCCTGGTAAATGATATATTCATACAAGATCATTGAATTTATTATTACTATTTTAATAAATGCCAGAAATTCTCTGGACTTTCTCAACAACAGCTTTTTGAAGCTCCCATTTTATCTTCGAATACAAGCGGTGAATGAAATCTCATTTTCTCTATTACTTGTAATATATCTTTCTATCGAAATTGTCTCTGGATAATGAGGGACAATGAAGTTCCTGCTGGTGGGAACTGTCATGCTGAGCCAGGCAAGTCCTGAGAACAGCCCTGGACACTGTGCTGTGATCATCTGCACGGTTCAGCTGGACAATGATCCCTGCAGAAGGTTTGGGCTGGACCTTAAAATGCTTTCTTAGGCAATGCCCGATCTAAAATGAAGGGAGACAGCATAGTATGGATACCTCCATTGGAAATGGACTTACTTTTGAGGGTGTGGACAAGAAGTGAACCTGCTCCTTGGCCGCTGTACAGAGAAAGGTCTCTGGCTGTTGCATTTACTAGGACAGATAAAAAGCTTTGAAGAGTGCTAGGCAAAAATATATCTGACTGATAAGAAAACAATGTAATGAACCAAATGTTTATGTTGTGCTTCCTGTGTGCTTGTGGAGAAGTGAATTGTTTTGCGTATGCCTTGATTTATTTGCCTAAGAGCTGAATTTTTACCTAGTGGTGTAAGGCTGGAGACTGTATCAATCGGACCTCTTTCACGGAGCATATGGAGGGGGAGTGGAGCGCATGGAGCACTTGTAGCCGTACTTGCAACACCGGAATCAGCAGTCGACAACGCAAATGCCCTGGGTAAAAACGAGTTCAGGTTTCCATTGCTGTTTGTCACAATTTCTGAACAAAATTTACATCAGCACAGGACCACATGAGGATACAGTTGGCCTTTATCTAAGCAATTAATACTTCATGAATACTGAAAAACTCTTAGAAGAATAGGTATTTCAGGTATTTTATTGCATGGCAGCACTATTTTTCATCTTTTCTGCTTCTGTCAAGACCCTAGATAATATTAATAGAAGAATAAAACTTTCTTCTTAAGCTTCACCTGAAGAAACAACATAAACTTAACTTTAAAATTTCTGACTTGCAGATTGATAGTGTGTAGTTCTAGTCTTTAAATTTTTCAACTAGAGGAGATTGACTTCTGCTTCTCTTCTAGACAATCAAGGAACTGAAAGTTTGACAAAGAGATTTTCCTACCAGTTTCTCAGACATTTAGACAGACTATCTGGAAACAGAATTTAGATTCCCTATCTTGTGAAAATGAAAACCTTCTGCCTTTGGAGATAAAGGCTTTTACTTTTCACTTGAATGAAATTTGTTTCACTATATCTCAGTGACCAGCTAAAAAGTGTTTTCATTTTAATTACTCAATACCAATTTGATTTTTTTCTGTCATTTATACACCAAGTGAAAAATAAAAAAAAATACAGGCATAGGAGTGGGAAAAGAGTGGAGTAATGAAGGCAAGTATAGGGAAAACTAATCCAGAGTGGACAAGACTAGAGTCAGTGGTTTTAAAAAAATAATAATACAAGGGGGGAAATGATGAATTATGGAAGACTATATAGCAGATTTTGGTGTAAAATACATAGGGGGTTTAAAAAAGATACATTTGCATAAAAATTTTTGAGGAAATTTTTGTATATGGCTATACAAAAACATTGGGATTTAGCAGAAATTTTGATATGCAGAACTCTTTCGTAGTTCATGCCATCTAAACACCACTTTCAGCTGTATACCTTAAAGCTATTTCTAGAACTTATGTATGTCTTAATTTCATGCTCATTAATTCATTTTTCCAGGCAACGTTCCAAATAATGAGCTCCAGTTTCTGCAGTTCTGTCTTCTTTTGCATTTGTTCATTAGCACCTGCAAGCACAACTGGACTGACCAAAGAGAAACAAAGCATTTGTCTGAACCTTGTAACACCACACTTCTAGAAAAAGGAGAGGTAGCAAGTCTGCAGGTGTTGCTTCCTTTCAGTAGGCCCTTTGGCTGAGTCCAGAAAGAGAAAAATCTCAATTTTATCAAAACTGCTCCTGAGGCTCCCCTGACTGAACTCCTGCTAGTCCTGGTACTTTCTTGGGTCTAAGTGTAAATTATGGCTTAGCACCCATCACTCCTTATGTATAATGTAACCAGTACAAAGACAAGGCAAATATGTTTTGTTCTGTGGCCAGTTTTTCATGGGTGACTTCTGAATGCTAAGTGTCAACAAAAAAACCTGCTATTTTTAATTTGTGTCTAGCATAAGTAAACTATACTGTAAGTTTGACAAAATATTGCCAACAGTAAAGGGTTGTATTTATGCCATCTTTTCTAGATCAGGCCTTGAAGGACAATGTCATGGGCCCACAATGCAGTATAGGGTATGTGAAAATCCTTCCTGTCCTGCTGGTGTGCCTGCCTTTAGGGACTGGCAGTGCCAAGCTTTCAGTGTCAGATCTTCATATCAGAAACATGTGCACCAGTGGCAAGCTGTCATTGATGATGGTAAGTATAAACCATCTCCCTTGTTCTTATAATCTATTTCTATAGCTTATTTCTTGTGGATATTGTTGTTAATGTAGAAAGATGTAGTTAGAACTAAAACAAACAAACCTCAAACCCAGTATTTTTGGTGAGTTATTTTGATTTCATAGACAAGATCTAGCGGTATTTTTATATGCTCTAGAATATTTTGTCTTTTATTCCTGTGGAATTTGTCCATCTTAATAGGTAATAACTACATTTATTAAAAGCTGACTCCAGTCAGCTTTTTCCTTTTTAATCAGAATTGTAGTATGAAGTGATTCAGAAATACTGCTTTCTGGAGTAATGCTCCATCATTAAACATACCTATATCAGTTATATTTTTTACCTACAAAGCCAAAGAGACAATGCAGTTGTTGTGAGACTTTGTTTTTGAGGAAGCAGTAAACTTCTCGCTTAAAATTGGGAGTATTTCACATATCAGTGTTTCATTTAGCAGCAGTGTGTAGATAATGTATGCTATAAACTTCTGTAAGATTTCTATAAATCCTAATACCTATTGCATATGAAGTCCTGGCATACTGTATTCATGCTTCCATGCAACAAACTTGCTTGCATACTTAGGAAAATGTTGGTGTGGGAGTATAGTAAGATCAGACTTACATTATCTACAACAATAATGGTGGTGTAAAACATCAGTTACTAAGAAAACAAATTCCTTCTTGCTAGAAAAGTGAACAGTAATTTCCACCCCATTGAATTTTCTGTAAATCCTTGTGTTTTAATTTATTGAAATTAGAAGCAAACAAAGAAAAAAGCACAATAAAAACACATCAGTTGTGAAAACAGTTGACTTGAGAACTTCACGAAGTCATTGCAAGCTGTAATAAAGAAAGCCCGAGAATGACACAGGAGTAAGCGTGTGCTACCAAATTTTAAGGAGTTCATTACTGTAAATTGTTTTTACTCTTGAAACAATTTATCAGAAAACATTAGAAAGCATCGAAGACTATTTTTGCTATCCACATATTATAATATATGACTAAGAATGTCTCAGGAAGTGGTTTTCTTTTCTTCTAAGCCTTTGCTCAAGGTGCCAAAGGAAAACTTTGATACTACTTTCATTAGGCTTGTATGTTAGCTCATTTAATTGTAAAACAAACTCTCTCCAGCTGTCACAAAGGTGCTTTTCAAGTCAATTAGTTTTGGTTTGTTTTACTAAATTTCATTTTAGCACAGGAGCACATGATTTATATCCTAAAGGATTTAAATGTTTATCTGGTTTTGAATAATACGATTTCATTCAAATGAAAAAATCTTGACACTGTTGTGTGCCATTTTAATGAGTACACATCTAATTGTTTTCTGAGTGATCCTGTATCTTGAGGTGCCCTTAGGAGAAACAAAAGTGGACCAGACAGAGAATGCCTGTATCACAGTATACATTATTCCCAAATCCTTAATTGTTTGCTCTCTTAGTTAACTGGAACTGTGCAGCATGTCCAAAATAGTTGCTGTATGTGATCTCCTGTAGTCTGTTGAAGTTGTCTGGTGTTGTTTAGTTGCTGTGTCTTTGAGTCCAGTGTCTTCAAAATAATGTTTAGGTCATCAATCTTGTATTCCTTTAAAAAATGCTGATACCTGCTTAAAGCCCCTTGGGAACTTTGAGGTTACTTTAAGGAAAATAATAGGAATGCAGAGGGCACAAACACAAGGTGCTTTTTAGCTGGAGATGGCTTTTGTCTGACCAGCTTCACATGTTGGCAGAAGAGATCACATCTGTTTGTACCGGTTCTCTAGTGATACCCTGAGGCTCTGTCAATTTTAGTAATTTAAATGTGCCCAGACCACTCTGTGTTGTGTAAGTCAGCTGGCACAAAACTCCTGTCTGTACTTTTCTGCTCCTTTGCATGCTAAAACTACTTTTTTGAAAACAGTCCTTTGCAGATGGCAATTTCCAGTCTAGACTGAGCTGGTGCTAATTAGCACATGTGAAAAAATGTGGCATAGACTGTTTTACAGTTCAGCTGTATAGACAGTAGAATTCCAGTGCCCCTGAATGTTTCCTGGAACTGTTTAATTTACTAATAAAAATATACTCCAGGAATCTAGAAGTCAGTATGAAGACAGAGTGGCATAGATTGTGTCCAAGTAAAATCAGTTTCAGGTTCAGGATTGACTTTTGTCTTTTTAAAAATCTGCAACAGATTTAGGTAGAAGTTCTGAATAAGTACATTTGCTAACAAAGATATGAAAAAATCCTGTCATTTTGTACTCAGTTGACCACTGAGAAGACACTTAGTTTCTTTTATTCACTGTTACTTTAACAGTGGTGAAACAAACTTCATTGTTTATGATGTGGCCATTAGGAATACATGGATACATAGGATAGCACTACATTTTGATGCACTTTCATAATTAGAAATTATTTGCAGAATGTTTTATACATTTATTAGAAAACTACTTGGTAAAAATGTTAGGGATGATGTTTCCAGGGGTTTTGTGAGGTTTTTTTCATTGTTTTTTTTAATGTGAATTTTGTAAATTCATATATTTTTCTTCCCAGGGTGTGTCAGTTATTTCATTTTTTTACTCCTTGACCTGCACAGTTAGGAAGTCTGGAAAGTGTTACCTTTCTTTTTTTAACCAATATTTATGATCTGCAAAAAATATAGGAGAATGAAAGTATAGATTACAACCAAAATATTCCAACAGCTGTAATGTGTATATTCTTAATTGCAACAATGAGCATGACATGAGTACTGTGTAGACCAAGTTTATAGCTACAGCATGCTCTAGGAAGAAAAAACCTCAAGTTTTTCAAACAGCTAAGAAATGGATCAAAATCTTTCTTGTTTTCCCTGTGTCTAAGATAACTTCTTATGCTAATATAGCTGCATACCATGCATAAGCAAATATAAGTTTTAACAAGAGTGTTGATGATAATTCTTTGTTTCTAAAGTTCCCTTTTTCTAATAATGCATGGTTTTCTGTCCATGTGCTACAGAAAAGCCGTGTGCTTTATTCTGTTCACCGGCTGGAAAGGATCAACCTGTTCTTCTAACAGAAAAGGTGATGGATGGGACGTCCTGTGGCCAGCATGGGCTAGATGTCTGTGCAGATGGTAGATGCCAGGTATGAGTTACTTGTTTTGAACCTGGATATACAGTCACCCACCAAGCATACATATATGTTCAGACTTTAGAACATTTTTATTTCATATCAGGCCCAGATATATTAACTTTGTTGCTGTTGTCAAGCTACCTCTGATATTAATTCATAGAAATGTGTCTAGCAGTAATGTGGAGATGCTCAAGTAAACTTAAGTTGTGTTAAACTGAATGCTTTTTAGCAAAACATGGGTATAATTTATATTTACATGTTCTAGACCTGCTTATGCCTATTCAGAATAAGTCCTTAAGCTGACATTAATGGCACTTTACCATTAAAGCATAGCAAAGAGCCATCCGTATTTTGAGTAGAAAGCAGGAGAGGCACATTGTGTTCTCTTAGTGGGAAGGCCCTGTGGGTGTGTGTTACACAGTGGGTCTGATGTGCCACAGGTCCCCACCAGGAGATAAGACTGCAGTTGTGTTTCTCTTGGAGAGCAGCTGGTAGAGTTAGCCAACAACATAGGAAGAGTGAATGCAGCACTCTACATAAAGTCACGGGGGAGTTTTCTACGGGACGGATCTCTGCCGTGAGCTAGTGCAACCCTCATTCTCAGCAGGGTTGGGTCATGCTGGCTAGGCGTCTTGAAGAAGGTTGAGGTACCTCATACTAAAAGCAACTTTATGAAAAACGTGGCCTGTGTCGCAATAGCTTTTATTTTCTTCTCCCACAGAAATTTGGCTGTGATGGTATATTAGGATCTCTGGCTCGTGAAGATCATTGTGGTATATGCAATGGTAATGGAAAGTCATGCAAAGTTATTAAAGGTGATTTTAACCATACCAGAGGAGCAGGTAATGTCTGTTTGCTTGTTTCAAATAATAAAGAAAAAAGTGGCTTTTTGATTGCTTGGAGCATTGGGAAATTATTAAAGCTATATTTCTTAAAATTATGCCGATCTTTATAAGGACTTTAGATCTAGCTTTTAAAGATGATAAGACATTGAGGATAAGAATGCATACGTATTTTCAAATTTGTTACAAAGTTATTTCACATTATTTCAATGGCAAAATGAAGGAAATATCTTACAATAAGATACACTCTATTTCATAGAAGAGACTGATTTTTAAGGGGTATGAGAAATTAGGTTTATATTTTTAGCAAATAGATTGTAAATTATTTTAGTGTTTAGCTTCATTTAGTGTTCCTCAAAATAAAAATCCAAATTATGATTTCTTATCTAGAGCAATGTTACCAAACTAAGCCAGGCGGTGCAAAATCATAAGGCCAAAAGAATGAAGCGTTCTAATACCTCTTCATTACTCATTATTTTATTCTAATAATAATATATCCTAACATGCCAATACATTTTTTAATGGAAAATGAACATCCATATGCTATCCATATGCTGCTGTGATCTGTCCTGCAAATGGAAATAGCTTACTGGCTCCAGAACAATAATGTTGACAGAATAGAGAATTGAAATACTAATAATGTGCATCTTGCACCATGTATACAAGTTTTTTCTTTGAAACAGCATTTGACCAGCTATTACCATTTATTTACCATTACACTTCCAGTTTTCTGAGTAGAAAATGTGTAGAATTTAGAGGTGGAAAGTAAATCACATCAAAAATAGTGTAATTATAAGCAAGCAGCATATCATTGGAAAATAAAGGACTTCAGTGGATTTTAGACTGAAGTATAGTACTTTAGGCAAGAGGGGAAAGTTAGGCATAGTCTTCAAATGTTTATGTCTGGCCCTCTCAAGCAGAGTGTAAGGCAAATCAAGGATCCCAAAACCCTGATGAGTATGGAGGACTACAAGATATAAAAACCAGCAAAGACAGTTCCTGCTAATAAAATCACATGATGTCAGTTCTCTTCAATTCCTTGTGTGAATATCCACACACTTCCAAGGTTTTTGGGGGCCTGTTTCAATCCTCAATATTGTGGTACTGCCATCTTACATTTGTGTGTTAAGATGGCAGTACCACAATATTGAGAATTGTGGTACTTCTCAAGCAAGCTTCTCAAGAAGCTGTAAGCAATTTTTAGGAAGTGTTATTAACTCTTACAGAAATGAAAGATGCTGCTTTAATTTTCATGTTTCAGGATTATTGAAAAAGTATTGTAAGTGCTAAGTATTTTGTTGTAGAATATCACATAGCTACACATAATCAAAGACGGGTATATTTTTTTCCCTTTGTGAAGTTTACCTGGATAATCTAAAATATGGGATTTTTTTATTAATGGTATTCCTGCCTGTACAGTGGTTTCCACCTTTGTTGCCTTTTCACTACGTTTTACTTAAAGCAAATTGTTCAGCGTTCAATTGTTCAAAGGAAAATGTCCTTTTCTTAGTCCCACACTAGCAAGAGACAATCTCAATTTAAAGCAAATAAGTAGATTTCAAAACCAAAGCCTATCATAACAGGGTTTTAATATATTCAATCAAGAAAGAGAGGAGCAAAAGATACACAAAACAAACTAAAAACCAAGCAGCGGGAGGATGCTTTGATTTTAGTGTCTTTAGCAGTTTTCTTTACATATTTTACAGTCATCTGGTGGTCATGATGACACTGAACTGAAGCTGGAAATAACTTCACCTGCTCCATCCCCAGTCTCCAAGCCTAACTAGTTCTTGTTATGTTTTACTGTGCCATACTCTTTTAATTATGTAGCATTGTATATATATTACATGTAATACACAGTTTCATAGCTTTTCTTCAATTTTGCAAGAATCTTCAAAATATTGCTGTATAAATTATATCTTTCTACACTTAAAAAGTGAAATAAGGGAGAAGAAATGAGAAAGCATACAAGATGTACTTTTCTATGCTTTTCTGTTTTTCTGCTTAACTTGGGACATCTGGTCTCATGTTTAGGTTATGTGGAAGCTTTGGTGATACCTGCAGGAGCAAGAAGAATCAAAGTTGTGGAAGAAAAACCAGCTCACAGTTATTTAGGTAAATATTATATGTGTTCTAATGTTAGTGTCCTGTTTTGCTCAACACTGAAAAGTGCAAGCTAAACATGCCTTTGTCATTGAACAAAGCTCTGAGTAGAAAAATAGATTTGTGAGGAACTTGTCAAAGGAGCTGAACAAATTATTACAGAACCATTTTTCATATAGATTTTCTTTTGGGCTTTTGTCTCATCTTTTTTACAGAATATTACCAACACTGTATTTAGATGATATAAAAAAAGTCTGTGTATACTTGCAAATGTTCAGTTTTTCATATGGAAAGTGCATTAAAACTATTGAAATTGCTAATTGCTAGTTATCAAGCCACTTTCAAGTATATTTGAAAAATCATGGCAGCCAGCTGAAGTGCCTAGTGACTGAAGAACAAGGACTATTGCACCATTTTTGAAGAGGATAAAATAATAAAGAAGACATTGGCAACTAGCATTCAGTCAGTCTTAGCCCTACTGTTTTCTAAAATTACTTAAATTTCAAGTCTTAGTGTTCTTAATATGGATTGAAGGGACACCTGACTACCTGAATGGAAGTGAAGAAATTACTTCCTTGACAAAATATATCAGTGAATGTACTTTCATTTAGAATTGAATTTCAGATGTCTTTTACATTTTCTGAAAAAAAGTAAGGGTAGTCAAAATAACATTACTTTGATACTTTTCTGGAAATATGACTGTATTTTGGACAAAGGAGAAAACAAAATTCCTGAAGTTAATACAGTAGAGTGATTTGTCCGTATTAAAAAAAAAACAATTAGTAGGTACTGATTTACCAAGTGGAGGACCAGAACCAGGGCACTGCTGCTCCCCACTGAGAAATGGGAGATTCAATAGCTGAATTGTGATTTGTTGTATCTGTCTGGCTGTGTAGCCTCTCACACCTCATTAAAATTAAACGGGTGTATAGTGCTTGCACAGTAATGAAAAAATACATTACACTCATCGCCGTTACTTAAATGCCATTGTTATGATGGCTGTTTTTTGCTCTACAGTGATACAGTTGTAATTAGTCCCCTTGGTTTAGCACTGAAACTGTGGTTGTGCTTTCAGTTGTGGTAGGCTTTCCCAGCCCAAGTTTTCTTTGGTTGTCTTTTCAGGTGTAGGTGTTGCTTGAATTACCTGAATGTTCTTCCTGTTTTTGGTTACCTTGTACAGAGGAAACTCCTCTGTCAAAAGTTAAGAAGAATAGGAATATATGTGCAGTATGGAATAAAACTCAGTGGACTTGCTTACAAAATGGGGTGTGACAGAGTCGAGAACAGAAGCTGCACTGCCTGAATCCAAGTCCACACTTAAGGCTTGAGGACACAGTGGTCTAAGACCGGTGACTCATATGAGGAATCTGAAAGCAGAAAATGCAAGATCTGACATATTTCTGTATTCTGAGCTGGGATTCCAGTTTCCTGCACATGTCTGCATGCTGTGGCACACGCATTCATTTTAAAGACCAGACAGAATGATTTCTGTTCCTCTCTGGGGAGAGGGTGCTGCTCCATCTGAGCAGCATGACCCGGCTGGACCTTGCTTGGCATGTTCGAGTGTATTTTTTTTAATTTCTCCACTGAGAAGAGGATTAGCCCCAACAGTTTTGACACTAAATAGAACTTAAATACCATTAACAATTGAATGCTTAAACTTAAAATGCCGGTTTTTAAATCTTGTAGAATGACTGGCTCTTTTTAGTACAAGACTGTTATACAGTGTTAATGGATTTTATAGTCTTAACATCTATTACACAGTGCTGCAGTTGTACACATCAGTGATGTCTTTTTCAATTGGATTCCTGCCAGTCCATAGGCCTGTTGCCATTGTTTCCCATAGAAACAAAACATAACAGTATAAATATGAATAGACAGGACATGATTACAGGAGTGACTCACATTAACTTACAACTTTAAAAAGGGAAATCTTGGAACATGTGGAGGTTCTCTTACAACAAGCTGATGCCAAACATGCAATTTCAGTGAAGTCAAACGTGTAAAACTTCTTGTACAGAAGGTGTCTTCAAGTCTTCTTCACATGATTATTCAAAACAAATTGGAACAAAATAAAATAACAAATCATTTACTGAAGAATCCATTCCATTTACTATAGAAAATGTAAATTTTGCTAATGTAGAATTCTTTGTTCTTAGTGTATGGACTATATCTTACCTGACTTGATTATATTTTTAAATATAAATTTGATCAGCATGAGAAATAATTCAGCCAAAAAGAACAAGCTTTTCCTATTTATTAGAAGTGTGCAATTATGTGGTGAAATTGTATAAAGTCTTATCAAATTCTAAGGTGCAGAAAAGGCAAGTGTAATTATTAGAGAAGAAATAATTTTGAACTAGATTTTTTTTTTCAGAAAAGTTTTCGCTTAGTTTCACAAATCTTGAAGAGTCCCTTGTGAAAATTGTGTTTCCCATGCTTTTATGGATTATAGAAATGGCCACCCTGGGAACAGAGAATATAGTTCCCTTTGCCTTAAAGTAATTCAGTTTTCGGGTTATGAGTTATGCTAGAGTCTGTCAGTCTTCTCAGGCATTAAAATGCTTATATTAACTTCAAGTAATGTTAAATACATATGATTTTGCCAGGCATTCCCTCCAGAAGGTGTTTCTGAAGCACATACCAACTGAAGTTTATGTAAAGTAGGGTCCATAAATATCTTTGCAATCAGAGTTAGGGGAATTTCACCTACTTTTTAAATTATCGGACCAGGAAGTGAGAGGAGAAAATCACTACTGAACAGGCACCTTTTATATTGGGCTTTTTTCATGTATTTTGCAGCTCTTAGGGATGCTGGAAAACAGTCAATCAATAGTGATTGGAAGATAGAACATTCTGGAACATTCAATATTGCCGGGACCACAGTCCATTATGTTCGGAGAGGTCTCTGGGAGAAAATATCAGCCAAAGGTCCCACAACATCACCCTTACATTTACTGGTATGACAATTCAGGTTTTTTTTACTTGATTTCTATGATATAGCATAGTAACTAATATTTTTTCCAGACTCTTCAAGAGAGTGAGATCTATATGTAAGATATACCTGGTTTTTTGTTTACATATATATCTACAAAAGTGGGAAGGAGGGGGTGAGGAGAGGTCTGTCAGCCTGCTTGTAAAAAAAAATGCATTTAAATCCAAGAGCAGTCTTCATGTTGTTGGGGCTAGATTGAAGGTCTCAGCATTCCTACAAATGTCATAAAAAGCCAATGTGCCAACTAAGGAGAGAAATTCAAATTAATTTCAGGTGGTTTTCTGAAATTTCTGGCTGACTATAGCACAGCATCACCATTTCAGAATTCCAGTCACCAAGTTCTCTGTGAAAATGTCAAATTTTGATGCATTTCAATTTGAACTGTTTCAGAGGAAAAGTTAATAGCCACCATAAAGAAAAAGGGAGAGATGATGGCAAAGGATTTCACAATTCAAATGCTTTAAATGAAAGGAATTTTCTTAATAAAGCAAAGTATTTTCTTCCATTGGCTTGATTTGGATACTCTAATTAATTTCTTCTAGCAAATCCATTAGGATGGCTGAAACGCAATACAGCATCAGTAGAGCTGTTGTGCTTTTCAAGATGATCTCCTTGAAGCTTGGAGTTTTCTTCCATAGTGTCTGTGTATGTAGGAAGGTTTTTCTTCTTTTTATCTTGCAGGTGCTCCTCTTCCATGACCAGAGCTATGGTTTACACTATGAATACACAATCCCATTGGATCCTCTCCCTGAAAATCAGAGCTCTAAAGTACCAGAGCCACTTTTCATGTGGACACATTCTACCTGGGAAGACTGTGATGCTGTATGTGGAGGAGGTAAAATAAAATAAAAATGTTCAAACACACACACACACACACATATAAGAAAAATTAATATGTGTATACAATATGCATGTACATACGCAGTGCAAATGTGTGTATGCAATATGCACTTATATGTATAAAGACTGTGTGTTTACATATAATTACGATTCTGATGGTCAGTGTTCTATATTTAATACTAACATCCTCATTGTGGTTTGTATGTTTCCATACAATGTAGATGTAAGTCAGTCTTATGCTTTCTGATTGCATTAAAAACACTGTGATAGCTCTAGAAAAAGATTCAAACTAAATATAAAAAGTAGCAAAAGATAGTAATGAAGGAACAAAATCTAGACTAACAATGAAATTCAGGACACATTTTCCAAGAAGAAATACAAGTACAAGAGCTAGAACAAGAATAGAAAGTGCATTCCACTCTGCATTTGGATCTACTGAAGATAAATGATCTGTAAGAGACATTTCAAACCACAGAAAAGCTGAATCCCAGTCTCAGATCAAATAAGTACAGTTAGTAACATGAGTTGAGGATGATCCAGAAACATATGGAACAAATATTACAACAGCAGATATTAGTATGCTGATGTGATATTTTTCCTGAGTCTATTAAGCATAAAAAAGTGATTTTGGAAGAACAAAATATGATTCTGAAAACAAATATTGGAATATGAACAGTATTGATGTAACAAAAGTCTTTCAAACTGTTTTCTAGACAATGTTATTTAAAATTATATTTACACTTAAAAAACACTTCAGATAGGGATTTTTTTAAAAAGAAATGCTGTGTACAGTAATGTGTTCATACTTTGTGCAGTTAGTCAGTGTGTGAACAATGTATTGACTTTTGATACCTGTCTTTCATGCTGACAACCTTGACAGTCATGGTTGCTCTGATCAACAGTTCTGAAAACTGCCGTGCACCTTGTGATTGAATAGGAAAGCCTGGAAATGCTTTTCCTTCTTGTAACATCAGCATAAAGAACACAGTGTTCTAGCTCCTCTGACTGTGTGAACAATCTTGGTGTCATGAAAGATTGCTGTAGTTTCCATAAACATGCTTTTTGTGGTTTGGTAGGAAAGCTTCTTCCCTAGAAGGTATTTTGTTCATGGTGCAAGTAGCATCCTCTGATTCTGAATAGTGCATCCCAGTTTACTTGTGAATTCACACTTTTTACAGTTTCCTGATGTATTTTTAGAATAATTTTAATGCTATTACAATCTGTCATTACTGTCCCAGATATTTCTAAATATTTCTATCATCTGCAGAAATCTTGAAATGCAGTATGTCAGTAATTTATTCTATATTAATGCTTAAATAAATATTTAAATGTTTTACTCTAATGCTTATCATTTTTTTTTCCTGTTGTAACTGGTCTTCGTTTTATGTTATTGTCTAAAATAGCTGAGTTATTACAAAGTTCCCTAGAAGGTAAATATTTTGAAATACTACTGAAAGATTTTTCTTACTTTAGACAAAACTATTTTTACTTTTCTTTTACTTTCTGGCTTAAGTATCAAGCAGTAATGAAATCAAAATACTGCAGCTTTTACCCTGTCCAACTATTTATGATTAAAATTTAACATCAATATTTTGATTAATCTCAATAAATAATAGTACAGTTATCAATAGTTTTGCTTAAATGCACAAAGCATGTGTCAGGACAAAACTATCGATGAAGTCATGTGTTTTTATGCATGTTTGTATATGTAACTGGTCTGTGACCTCCTGTGTTGCAGAAAAGCTTTCTTTGCATGGGAGAGAATATGAATACATAGATGTATATATAAGTGCAGAAAGAATTGTCAAACATTTCAAATGCTGTGATATAATAGATTAGTTGCATGTGCTCTCACGTACACAAGCTGTGTAAAAATGTCAGCAGTGGTCATGCACATAATACGCATTTATAACATAACTGCTCCATCCACAGGCTCATTTTTCACCTCTGGTGAATGTTCGTGCTTAAGCCTGCTCTGCGCCTGCACACAGCCCCTTTGCCAGTAAACTTTCAGGCAGAGTAAAAGTAGCTCTAAGAACAAATAGTTCAAACTGAAATCCAGAATTCAAGGATTGCTAGTTTTCTAAAATTAAGGCTCCAGGCTAATTGCAAGTTACTGCTTGTGGTCAGTATTACATGAAATTCTAATTTCTAATGCTTCCATGTTTAAGAGACATCAGGCTCCAGGCCACCATCAGGAGAAGGCTCTGTGCAGAGCATGCACTTGATCTCTGCAGCAGTACCCAGCTTCCTAAATGGTTTTCTGACCTTGCAGATCAGGTCATCTGGCCTCTTTAGTTCGTGGGAAATAGTGCAGGCTCTCTGTTGAAGGATACGTGTGCTGATTCCCTTTATCTGAATGCCAGCCACAGTTTGTCATTTCTTTCCTCATTTTATGTAGTAATTAACAACCATATTTGTAATTTTCTGCAAGCATTCCTCAGTGATGGAGTTGCAGTTGTTGAGAAAGAAAATTATTCCAGTGAGAGTGTGGGTTTGGCCTATAACTAGTTGCAGGAGTAAGAGAAAAACTCTTGATAGTGGTGTGCAAAGACTAGGTAAGAAACTCACAAAGTTCCCTACAAATTGTAGGATTTCTTTCAGACTCTCTGCTAGCTTTGAATTTCTTTCAGTTCTTTTAGCCAAACTGTGTATGAAATAGCTGTATCTGTGTCCTTAATAATTTGCATATTCTTGGTTTCCTCACAAACCTGCTTCTTTTTTTTTTTTTTTTAGGTGAAAGAAAGACAACAGTCTCTTGCACGAAGATTATGAACAAGAATATCAGTCTTGTGGACAACAAGAAGTGCAAATATTTAACAAAACCTGAACCACAGATCCGCAAGTGCAACGAACAGCCCTGCCAGACAAGGTAACAATGATTTGGTTAAATTAAACTATAATATCTAGATGTAAAAGCCATGTAAAAGCAGTGGACTGCTTCTCACAATGAATGGCCATTCAAAACATTATAATGCAAAATGAAGGGAAAACAGAAATGCTGGAAATTATTTCTCCAGTTTTAATGAAAGAGAGTCCGTAAGCACCATGCCTGAATAAATTCTTATCCAGTAAAACAGTTCTTTCATTTCCTCAGGAAGTATTCTTACAGATTGATCTGTGCCACAAAAGTGAAATTCAAATGCTGTTTATATAAAGACATAGATGGGATTTAATTCCATATTCTTAATTAATTATGTTTTAGTGGTGTTTTTTTTGAAGCAAGGCTTCGTGTCTTTAAAGCTCTTGATAAACTCTGGGTACCCTAAATAGTAAATAAATCAATCCCTGTTAATCATTCTTTTTACGTTAATGCAACTTGAAGTATAGCAAGCCAGCCCCTCGCTCCGCTCTTTCCTCTCACCCCATGAGAGTAAAGTCCTTGTATGTGGCTCAACAAATAAGCTGAGCTAGTCTCTAGTGGTTGAATATTGCAGCATGCAGGAGGAGGTCCATGTGCAGCCTGTACCAAGCAAAGCCCACCCAACATCCACTGGTGTTCCTGCAGCTGAACTGGCAGCCTGCTCCTTGCACTGGCTGACCAGGTCAGCACGGTGGCCCATTTCAGAGTCATGCCACTTGGCAGCTAAAAATTATGTGTTAAGGAGGTCCTCAAGAATTGCATTTACTTTTTGAAAGCAAGTTAGAGCAAGTCCACACCTTTCAAGGGAGGGCAAAGCAGCTAGCAAGAGCTGGCTATCATCCCCGGGAGTGAGCACTAGGATCAGTCTGCTGCAGTCATCTGGAAGACAGGTAGATGGCATTTTTAAACAAAATAATGCAAAATAAATTAAATGCAAATACTGTTGAAGAAAGAATGAAAAAACATAGCTTTCTTGTAAAGGATGAATACTGAAATTGATAAAATGTGAAGTATGATACATTTTAAGACAAAACTACTGACATTTGGTCTTCCCAAAAGAGGGCATTACCCTTTGGACGGATTATTTAAACTTCATTATATCCATATTTGAGAAGACCTTTATTTTGTTTTATTAGCACCACTCTTTACTTAATGAATAGAAATGGAATAACCTGATCTTTTTCTGAGGCATTGTCTACCATAAATTTTCAGTATTCTGTGTTTTTTCCAGCTTATTAAGTGAAATTTTTAAAACTTTGCTAATTGATACTCAGAGATGCTGTGCTGAGAAATGTAGAAAGATTTAATGATCCAATTTTTAAGCACTGAAAGTGATGATTACAAAATATTACTAGCTTTCAACAGAAATGTTACTAAAGCATGCACTTGCATAAGTACTTGCTTGCTATTGGCCTATGAAGAAATATCTTAAAGTCTATTTCATTGTCTTAACAGGTCATGATTTGTAAATTAAATATCTGGACAGATAACAAAAAAATCCTTAGTTAAGGGTTTTATTTTTTTTTGCTGCAAATGCATGACAGAAGGTTGAAAAAATTTTAATAAATCTCAGTTTCCTAAAAACTCTCCTTGCAAACTAAGTCCTCCTTGAAAACTGTTGTGTTTTCAGGAGACAGAACATCAGGGGCAGAACTGTTTGATTTTTTAAGGGCACATGGCCATAATCTGGATTTATAGAACACCTGGGGAAAATTATGTTCTAGAACGATTGTTCTCTAGGTATGTGGTCTGTGCCAAGCTGCATCAGCCTTCCTTGCTTGTGATTTAAGCCATGCACCCTGTTAGGCCTTACTCTGAAGGACGTGAAGAATTTTGGGCTTTTGTGCTTTTCCAGGGCAATGAGTCTTTCACACTTGAGTGATTCTTTCTTGCAACACAATATTTTCAAGGAATGCTGGACTGTATATGCTTGACATACACTTGACATTGATAGACACGCAGAGAATAACAGGCAGGCTGATCAGGGACCTGTCATCTTTATACATGCATTTTGGAAATTTTCTAATTGGGATTATAATTAGAGGAAAGTAGTTTGAAAACATATGGTTAGTGGACTGGGGGAGGAATTTATATGTACATTAATATCATATGAAATGTAATATATGTTAGATTCATAAATACTCCATTAGCAAAATGACAGTAAAAGGAGGCTGAAAATATGCAAGTGTATCTTGGGTGTATACACTTAGAATAAGTGAATAAGATGTGACGGTATTTTTCCCCTCCTGATTTTGTATTACTACATTGCCTGTGTTTCTTTGCAGATGGATGATGACAGAATGGACACCATGTTCAAGGACATGTGGAAAAGGAACCCAGAACAGACAAGTAGCCTGCACACAGCAGCTCAGAAATGGGACCCTGATCAGAGCTAGGGAGAGGGATTGTCTGGGACCAAAGCCTGCATCTGCACAGCGCTGTGAAGGCCAGGACTGCATGACTGTGTGGGAGGCCGGAGTCTGGTCTGAGGTGCTGCATTTGTTTATACTCCAAATACTCCGTTGTCATTGTTTGTGCCTTAGTATTTTTTGGAAATAAGGTTTTTTTCACCATCAAGTGGCACAGTTTAGCCTAATGATTTTCATGGTCCTCATGCAATGTTTTGGCAAAGGGTTCAGGGGCTAGGAAAACCTGCTGTGTAGAGCTACTACATTTTATCTAGTTAATGTTGTGCAACAGTCTCTTCTGGCCAGTTCAAAAGCACGTATAATCAAGTATGTCCTGTCTGTAGTACTGGATAACTAGGGGGAAATGGAATTAAAGCACCACTTACCAGCTACAAGACCTTGGGTTCAGAGTGGAAACATCTGGGATGTGCTTTTGTACCAAGGGATATTGATCAGCAGATGGATGATGCCATCCTGCTTCAGAGAGGCTTTGAGGGGAGCCTTTGGCAAAAAAAAGACATCTTCTTCCCTTCTTCTTTCTTCTCTGATCTTTTTCCAAAGAAACAGCAATAGGCAAATGGGCTTGTAAGTAACACAATTTCACATGTGTTGCATCCTGAAGTATTGCTACAAAATGTAATCATTGTTCAAAAAGCTTTATTAATTTAAGGTCTTTAAATGTGCTCATCCAATTGGCGTTCTTCATCTTTGATTTTTTCTGAAATTGACTGACCATGGAGGAAGAAAAGTATTGTTCTCACTGCCATCTGGACAAGACGAAAGGCTTGATTTGGAACTTCTCATTTTATTGAAAGAGTAAAGGCAATTCTGATTGCTTCCCATACTAGAAGCTGTGCTATGGATTCCTCTGTGATCAAAATACAGATAGCAGCTTCTGAATGTGGGTGCAGTCCGTTCTTTGAATTGCTCTACTCAGCAGAACTCTTTGATCCCCAAGCAAGAAAGAGCTAACAAATAGGGAATGTTTTCAAATATGAAAAGCACATGCTAAGGTAGAGATAGGAGATGTAAATACCAGCAGTTTCTGGCATGGTGCACAGTTTATGATGCGAAAGCTGGTTGTGAGAAGAAAGGCATCCATTTACAGAGATGAGTAAAGAAGTACACAGATTGTTTTGTCAGTTTATTTTACTTCAGAGATGAGAAAAGAGAGAGCATGTTGTTGTTGGAAGTAATAAATATTTTTTGAAGAGCGAGTTATTTCCCGTGGCCATTCCTACTATCACCGTTATGTAGGAAGTGACCATTACTGCTTCCTGTGGTTATAATCAGCTTGGCAGAGGAGAGTTTTGAACTTCAAGCAGTGGGATGATCAAAAGCAGTGATAATGTTTTGAGAAGGAAATGGCATCATTTTTGGCTCTGTAAGTGGGAATGGTAAAAAAACCCCATAGATTAGAACCTTCTGAGCAACTTGAAAAGAGCTTTCACATGCTGACAATATAGTGACTTTGAATTTTGAAGTTCAGTCTGGATTCTTGCATAGTTTTACAGTATTTACTTTTCCATTGTACATTTTTTTCCTCCTCCCAAAAAAAGCTGTTGGACACTAACAGAGCTTTTCTTAATTGCTTCATATCTTATTCCTATGAACATTATTTTGATTTTCTTTCACTGTGTTTCCTTTCATTGGAAGAAGAAAGATTGCCTAATATTTTTGGTGTAACATTTTGCATTCACTTAATCATAACTTCTTGCATGTTTTCTTATTCAAAAGCCTGTTCTGTCCTTAAGGAAGTAATTTTTTATCTAATTTTTGTAAAATCAATTATCATTCTGTCCCCTGAGGAATTTTTGTTCAGTTTTTATTTTTTAATAAATCTAGTTTTGATGCTATTGAAGGCTGGAAGTTAAGAGATCACTGAAGCTGTGAAATATTTATGCTGACCTGGCAGAAGTCGTATAGAAGGGGATGAAATGGGGTAAGTGAATTTTGTAGAAATCTGAAAAAACATTTTTCCAACAGTGCTCTGTAAAGTGTGGTAAGGGAGTACGGCATCGGACTGTGAGGTGCACCAATCCACGCAAGAAATGTGTTTTGTCCACAAGACCTAAAGAAGCAGAGGACTGTGAGGACTATTCCAAATGCTATGTCTGGAGAATGGGAGACTGGTCTAAGGTGAGTAATCCTTGATACTAGTGGCTCCCAGCATCACACATTTTGCAAGTTGAGTTCTTATCAAAAATGCACAGATGTCCCAGCTGAGGGAACAAGAAGGCTATAAAAAAAAAAAACAAACCCTAAACTGGTAGTCACAGTGGGCCTACAGTATAAATAAAAATCAGGAATATGAAGTAAATGTGAGATAAATCTTCAGTATAATCCAAATTTGTATTATCTTACTGTGTCAGTAGGCAGGCAAGCAGCTTCATAAACTGCAGCCAGCTCCAAACTTACCATTCACATATTTCGTGCCTTTGTGTTTGCACACTTTATTTGTGGTTCCAGTAAAGTACACCCTCCAGCCTTATACAGTAGCACCTTTAGCCTCTTAAATTTCCACATAAACATTTTAGCATCTGGGAAGCATCTATTACTGTTTTCTTTTATTATTTTTTTATTATTATGGACACAACATAACTGTCATTACATTATTTCCTTGGCATATGTGTTCTGAGAGGTGGATAAGCATAGGCCAAACAGTAACAAACAATATTGGTTAGATCTGTGATTGGCCTTCAATGTCCGATAGAGTTTTGTAAAACCCAAAACATGCTAAAATTCTGAACCTTGTCAAGGTTTTCTCTTGCTGTATCACAGGCCACGCTTTAGCAGAAAGATTGTAATATTTTTTTATTTCCTTTGTTTCTCTTCATAACTTTGCACACAACACTTTTACTTTCAGCACCTAACATTATTGCAGCATTTTTTTAACTTGCTTGTATGGAGAAGTATTTAATGTATTTTTAGTTGTCTTTCATGTGATGTAGGAGCTGGAAACAAGGACTAAAGCCAGCAGTGTATGGCTAGCCAGCCTTCCAAGAATTAGCTGCAAGTACTCTGTGAGTAACTAGCTACTTCAAAAGCACATAGTATAACCATTAATTTTTTTAAACAACAGAAGCAACTAACTTTCAGTAGCCATATTACTTTTACAAGAAGATATGTTTGGCAATAACGTTTAGTATTTCCATTTCTCTACCACATAACTACGGTTAAAACCTGCCTCATTTAGCATTAGCACCAGTAGGAAGTAAACCATGGAGAAATGACCATCTGCTTTCTTAATTGAAGCAGTCATTCAAATTAGGGTTGCTGAGGCTGTGTGGGTATGCTGAGACAGTTACACTGTGTTCCCAGTGCCCTCTGGAGTGAAGAACTTCATCCTCTCAGTACTTTTCACAAACAACCATGTCATAGATGAGTGTACAAAAACTTATATCTTCTTGTTTGAAATTTACTGGCAATTTTGTATTTCCTGCTCTCCTCCTACAGAGTCAAAGCTGTAACACTGTCACCTAAACTGCACTTTGAACTTCAAAAATTAGGATACAAGGAATTATGGAATTGGCAAAATCTTTTGAACAGTTAACATATACTCTGACTGTGACTTGTGCAGCAGAGATTTTCCAAGATTTATACTAAAAAATAGATACCGTGATTCCTCTACAGAGATGCAAATTCAATTTAAAATATATTTGGATGTTGATTTCTTTTCTCTGTTACTCTTCTGTTCCATTGAAGCAGTACATAGCAATATGAGGTCATGGCATACATGTTAATATGTCTACAATGGTGAAAACAAATGAAAAACTCAGATAAATGTTAATCTTTGCTCTGTTGTTTCTAACCCAGAGGTTCAATGCAGCCTTCTGTGTTTGCAATGCAGCCTTCTGTGTTTGCAGTTTTTACTCTTTAGGCTTGTTCTTGACATTGACAGAAGTCTGTTCCTTTGAGCCGAGCCAAATTCTCTCTAGCTAATGCCAAGACTTAACTTGAAAAATTTAGATGACACTTCTCACATCTCACACATTGAAACAAGAGGCCTAATATCTTTACTCCCTTCTCTGTTTCCTTTGAACTCCTAAGACATAATTTTAAACTAAGCTTACATTGCACTATTACTGAAAAGACAACATGATTAATAATTATGGAGTGCTGTAATAAAGTTAATTTGTTTTATTGCTATAGTCACATAAAAATCAAATAAAACAGTTTTTGAGCTCTATGTTTTAACAATACCGAGATCAAAGAAAATGTGACCAAAATTCCAAGATCCAACAGATCAATTGTGGAGCTAGTAATCCTTCTAAAACTCAGTCTAAAAGAAGTCAGTACAACTTGGCCTGTGTGCAACATTTAACTCTGTAATGGTGTTTAAGTCAGTACACTGGGTCAATATGCTAAAAATTGTTGTTTGTAACATTACTCAGGTTCTGTGCCTGCCTTTGTGAGGAGTATAGGTATGATGAGAAAGGAAAGAATAAAAGCTCAAACTGAGCTTCTGGAGGCAGTACCTAGCAACTTTACCAATGACATTATATTTTCCCAGCAAATGCCATCCATGGCATATCCTAATTAACAATGTGTGAGGTACCTTCAAATGAGGAATGCTTACAGACCACAGCTGTTCTAGCACCAGCTAGGGCAAGGTGTTGTTAGCAACAGTGTCCCTTGCTAAGCTGCCCACTGGCTACCCATTTCAAAGCCATACAAGGACAGGATCATGCTCAGAGGCATTCATCGCCTGAGTATAAACAGATAGGCTGAGGAGAGGTGAAATTAAATTAATGTGAACTGCATGTTTACACGTCTGCACAGCTTACAAAAGAACACATCATTGTAGAAGTCATTCTCAAAAAAAACGCTTAAATTTCAGCAGCATAGGGTGCTCAGAGGGCGTGTCTACAGTACTTTATGTAGGAAAACGTGTTTAATTTTTTTCTGCTACTATCACACTTTTCAGACCATTTTCAGAATAAATGAAGCATGAGAAGCAGGATGAATTTTGGAGCAGAATAATTTGGAAAGTGGGCATTGAAAATGGTAATTTGAAACTTTGATATAATATTATATCATTCAGCAAGGAAAAATAGGATCAAAAGTCCAGACAACAAGCTAGAAGCAGCAATTTGTAAGATGAAGAGATACACAGTATGTGTCTACAGGGGATTGGAGAAGATAATGTGGTGTAAGTTGTAATAAAGATTGGAAAAAGAAACTAAAGATGGAGTAGCAGCAGAATTTCAGAATAGTATTTATGTGTTATACCAGAGATCCTGAGGAGTCAAATATGACATCTGGGATAGTGGTCCCAATGGTTGGCATACAGTTCACATTGTCTATAGCCTGAAGAAGCAAAAACATGACGCAAAAGTTAATCTCCTTTTTTTTTCCATGTGAGGCAACTGCTTAGTTTTTGCACCAATGAATCCCAGAATGGGCTGGGATTCATGGCATATTTCAAATTATTTATTTCAGACAGTACATGCAGTGCTCCCTAGAAGGTGTGTGTGTGTGTGTAGTTGGAGGAAGTCAAGGCTCCAGCTGGTAGGAGGAGACAGATTCACAGAGAGATCTACTGAGGGGTACACAATGCAGATCTCAGTGATAAGGATTTTGTGCCTTCTGCCCCAGTCAAAGATCATGTGTAAATGGAGAGAGGTAAATGCCCACAAACTTTTTTTACTAACTATTCAAGAGCACGGGACGTTCAACCTTCATTTTGTGTGCTTAAATATTTAAACAGATTCTAAATTTCCACAGCAAACAAATTCAACTGATCTCCTCCAATTAAAAAAAAAAAAAAAGTATTATATTAATGTTACGATTTTACCGACAAGGGAATTAGCCTTGTTTTTTTTTCTTGGATCCCCATCCAAACTTATTAATCTCTTTTAGATTCTTGGAATGGAATAGTGCTGGCCATGGGTCAAAATATAACACTATCAGTAGATGTATGGACAAAGCAATTATGCAATGTGAAATAATAGAAGTTAAAATAATAATATAATCAAGTCAATAGTTCTCCCATGGTAGTGGGAGAACTATATCATCAAATAAATAATGAAAAGAAAAAGAAAAAAATTTAAATCCACCTCATAATACATACTCTGATTTTCCCTCTGTGTCCTAGGAGAGGGTCTTAAGCAGAAGTTACCACCATTTTACATTATCTTTTATGTTTCCATCAAGAGTGGACAAGTTAGTTCGCAAAATGACCTTAACAATGAGTACGAGATGGTATAGTGCAGAAAGAAGGGTGCATGTGCAGAAAACCAACCCTCATAGCCTGGAAGGTGGCAGCATGTGCCACACAATGTACAGCGTGCTGCACAGTGCCACCTGAAGGAGCAGTGTGGGGAAGAAGGAGGTTCACTTACACAACCACTCCTGTGTCTCTGACACTGACGGAGAAAGAAAAGGGTAGCGCTGATGCATTATTCAGCAATTGAATGAAATTGTTTTGGACTCTGATGATTTTAACAAGTGGTTTCCAGGAAAGCAGGTTGAGATGTCTTCTGTAGAGATACAAATCTGTAGTGAAAAGATTGACTTCTAAATCACCTTCATAAACCTAAGCAGTTAGAGGAAGTCTAGGAATTGCAAAAGAAATGAGATCTGAAATATCCTTGAACAAGCTAGGGTTTTTTACTCCCTGGTAGCAGAAATAAAATGATAAAAATACTGCTAAAATAGATTATTGATAACATTATAAATAAGATTTGTTTTATTTTAATTTTTAATTTCCCAGCAATATTTCAGAATGAAACATTGTTGCTATTAGAATGCAGCCATTGACTTTGAATCTTTAGGCAGCTCTATAAACTTTCTGCATGCTGATTCCCACCAAATATTCCGTGGTTTTACCAACAGACTGAAACCTTTGCTGTAAACAAAGCAGTGGAGCTGCTATTTCTTGTACCAGATGTTGGCACTCTTTGAAATTGATAAGAATGATTGACTGGGTGTAGTGATCCCTGGGAAGGCCAGATGAAGGAGAAATTCTGTGTCATGCACCACATGTCATATTCCACTAATGATGAAGTTACAGAGAGTAGCATTTGCAGCTTTCCGTCACCAAGGAGGTGATGCTAATATCTTCCAAGTTGTTGTGTTATAGTGTATACCCCAGAAGATGCAAATTTCCAAACTTTTCTGCTTTGGGGTTTTGCAGT